CAACATGCGCGCACCGTCGTGCACGAGCTGCCTCTTTAACGGCTGCACCCAGCGCGCCTTTGCCGGTTCTCGGCAAGTGTGAGTTTCATCGCCAACGCGTTCGTGTGCCACATTGACGATTTGTACCAACATTGTCTACGCGCGCCAGCTTTTGCGTGCGCCACGGCGGCAAGCTGCAGTGCGCCACGGCGGCAAGCTGCAGTGCGCCCACGATGATTGCAGTTCGAACGCCCGTATCGACGGCTTCTACTCGCGGCACGCGCTTCCTACCGCCAAGCGCACGTGCTCGGAGATCCACTGCCGCAACCTCGCCCACTCGCGGTCCAAGTGCGTCCGACACTACGGCGCGCGGCGTTACCGAGAAGCGCAATGCGCAAGCTTGGCACGCACGGGCGGCTTGTGCCGGCGCCACAATCCGTTCAAAGTGTCGCTGCACGCAAGTCCGATCGAAGTTGGTGTGACGACCAGCGATGATCTGCAGGAGCTTGACAACATGATCCTGCAGTGCCTTTTGATCGACTCACCGCGTATGGGGCCGACGACACCACTGTTTGGTGCTTTTGAAATGGAGATGTACGATTTTTAATCGAGCACGATACACCTAGATTGAAACCAACACCTGTGAGAATGTATGACATTTGTATCGAATCATGGAGACTGGCGTTGAAGGCGAGAAATATAGGCCATTCGGACACTCGTTTTCTCGACCGGACAAGTTTGATTTTAGTCGAGGTTTACGACATCCATCGACTCACTACATGTAGTGCACTGTACAAATGCAATACTAGTAGCCTGAACGTACGACCGACAAGCGAGCAAGCGTGGATTCTTATCGGTTTCGCGACAAGCATACCGTATTGTGAATTGCATTCAATGGCCATGTATAACTTATAAACATAAAAGGGCACTGCGCCTTAGGCGATGTCCTTGTATAAACTATCGCCCGAGGCAACAAGTCCGGTCGTCGTGCTGATCAAGACAAAGTCGAGAATGAGGTCGTCTAGCGTGTCCATGGGCATGGCGTCCTCGATCCAAGCATCCGGGACGATCTCGTTGGTCGCGACGGCATCCTTGAGCAGCTGCTTGGAGTGCCGTTGGCAGTAGCCAGCGATGCGCGCGAGCGTTTCGCACTCGGCGAGTTTGCACTTGCGGCCGCCACCGTGACGGACGCACTTCTTGCGCGAGTGCGCAATGTTGGCACATCCTGCCTCGACACACTGTTTTTTCGTATTGACAAGCGAGTGGCGCGAGCAGTAGCCGCCGGTGCGGGCGTTCGCGTCGCATCCCGTGGTGAGGCACGGCTTGGTGCCGCCATGGCGAACGCAGAGACCACGAGCGTACACTTGGTTGTTGCACGTACTCACGGCGCAGCAGAGGCGGTTGCGATGAAAGGCGCATTTGTTGGACTGCGGCATGGCTGGCTTGGAGCAGCCGCGAAAGCAACACTGCGCGTCCATACTGATGCGGAGGAAAGACGATGAAATGAAAAATGGTCGGATGATCTTCTTCCGCAAGGTGATCCCATTTTGGACAATATCGATACATGAGACCGACCATTCAGCGCACGATGGCGCGCATGAGTGATGGGCTCTGAAGTTTCGGTGCCCCCCCATACATGGACCAGTACAGTGCTTGGTGCACGTGGGCTTGAAATAATTGGCGACAAACCTTGAAGATGAATAACGGCCCACTGTGGCGCTCGACCTGTCATCCCAAACTGGCTCGTCCCACTCTTGGACCTGATCAACGCGACGGAAAATCCGGAAAACGCGCGGAATTCAGCGAGTTCGGACGGCGCCGTTCAGTTGTGCACTGCCAAATTGCACTTTGCGTTGCGTTCGTACGCGGGGTCGCGGCAAAACAAAGGCAAGCAAAGACCATGTCTACTTGCTGGATGTAACTAGCGGTGTCAATTAGCGTCGACTGGGCGGGAGGCGTGGACCCGACCAGACATGTTTGCACGCCGATTTGTGTCAAGAGAGCACCTCCGGACGCTCGCGAGCCGACAAGTCGATATCGACTCTTCGCTGCACGTTCGATCGAGTGGTTTTCTCGAGCGCCTCTCATGGGCTGTTTTCCGACTCGAGGGTGGGTTGTTTTCATCCACTCGGATGAACCTCGGCTTCATTATCTTGCTGCAGTGTACGCGATGAAGCTGATCATACGTGTTGTTGTTGAAGTGGGTCGTCTATTACAATAGATAAAACTATGCTAAATAAAATTGTCGGACTTTCTTCGTGCTGATCATACGGGTAGTGTAGACTATCGACGTTGATTGCGTCCGCCATCATGACCATTTAGTGAGAGCAGCTCCGACGGTCGTCGTCCTATGAGGACGTCGTGGAAATATCTTCAAACCTATGAAACTCGCAGATTCGCAAGGCTGCTCTGCGCGGTTCGCGAGCGAGAACATACCGGTATTTGTTTGATGCGGAACGTGGGACTCACGCATGTTCGTTGCCTCTGGTAACGAGATCAACATCAATGTAATTGTCCGACGGCGGAATTCAGTAGCCCCTTTAGGTGCGCTTCCGATATTTTTCTCATGACATTTGTATGTCGTAAGAGTCCCATTTAAGTACGTTACCGACTTGATTGTGCGACCGCACGTGGCTACACCTCGCAGGCAGTGTCAACTCGGAACGCAATCCTACATTTATCACGGCCGCAAATGACTTCCAAAACGAATCCATTCACTTCGCCTTGTTCCGGACCTTTTTTTCTTTTGAAAGCACGAACACGGAAGCAGACACGACGTCGCGGCCCAGTGCCTCCTTCCCACGAGATATCTGCAACTCCCCGACGACCACTTTGCCACGCCGGCCATGGTGGCTGCAGCCGTCGAGTACCGCCAACCCGAGCACATCCTGCCAAGATACGCCGACTTCATGTACCGTGTGGTGCTTGGCGCCGTCGCGATCCGCTCCCGGCTCTACTTTCTGGCCGATGACGCCCAAGTCTGTCCCGTCTGCGGCGACCTCGAGACGTACGACCATCTTCTGCTTCGTTGCGAATTTGTCACTGCCGTGTGGGCGGTCTTTCAGCCGCTCGTCGACGCCCTCAAGCTCGAACTTCCCACGACGCTTTCCGCGCTCCTCTTCGAACCGCTGGTAACAGGCCAACGATACCGTCGGCGTGCAGTGGCCATGATGTGGCCGATCCTCCGCGCGTGCGTGCTCCACACCGTCTGGCTTGCCCGCAACGACCGAGTCTTTCGCCCCGAGGCGCCCCTTGTGACGCCTGAGGCAGCCGCCCAACGAGCCGCGTTCTTGACCAAGCTGCTGAACACTCAAGCATTGTGCCTCTTCCAAACGATGGCCGCCCTGCGGCACGACGCATGGCTACGCGACAACTTTGTTCCGGCATGTGCCGTTTACACGCCACGTCTCCCGCTCCCGCTCGGCTAAGCCTCTCGGCGGCCGGCTCATCGTAGCACCTTGGAATCGATAGTCCACCACCATATCCAGTTCAGTGTAAATTATATCTAAATAGACTCACTTCAACAACGAACACGGAAGCTCGTGTTCAGAGTGGAGTTGATGCCTGCCAGTTGCCTAGTGCTAGGACTTTAGGAGGTGAGGGAGACCGTCTCTTGTCTTCCAGACAATTTGCAAGATCCATAGCGCCAATGTTAAGCATACGGTAAAGGAAGTCTCGAAAATACAGGTCGTTCATTAAATAGTACTAAGTAAGAGTCGCGCACGACGCTCTAATACAGCATGGCCGTCATCATGGGCTCTGTCGTCGCCAAGATGCAGTCCAAGATCGATTGGTCCAAGTCCTCAAAGGTCGGAACATAGTCCATGCCGACGGCGATGTCGCGCCAGATCGGCTCGTCGTCCATTTCCATAGGACCATCGGCGTGGCGGCGGCACAATCCACCCGAGCGAGCGAGCGTGTTGCACTCGGGCTCGCGGCAGCGGCGTCCACCTCCGTGGCGTACACACTTGCTCTTGGTATGGGCGACGTTGCTGCAGCGCGGCTCAATGCAGACGTGCTTGACGTGCACCTTGGCGTGGCGGGCGCAGAAACCGCCACCGCGGGCGTTGGCGTCGCAACCGTCGTGTCTGCATTGGGGCTTCCCGCCATGGCGCACACAAAGCTTCCGAGCGTACACAATGTTGTTGCAGCCGTGGACTTGGCACGGTAGCCGATGGCGATGAAAGTCGCACTTGGCGAGGTTGGGTAGTGCGATGTTTTCGCAGCCGTTAAACCGGCAAACGATGCTAGGAGCGTGTTCCATCGACGTGAAGATGCGGTGGCGTAAAGTAAAATGAGTCCACCCTCGTTTGTTTCGGTTGCAGTTGCCCACTCCAAAGTCGGAAGCAATGCATCGGGCCTCCCACCGACAGTGGCCACGCAACGACTAATGGGATGCAGCGTTTGACAAGCAATCCAAATTTGGGCCAATCAGAGACGAAGTAAAAAGTGCCATTTCAATTGGTCATGTCCCGGCTGGTCTTGGATTCAAACAAGTAATAGCGTCCAGGAGGGGGTTAATCAGCGTCCACACGGCGACAACTGTAGACTACCAGAACGACGTCAACGAATCCACCTGGAGTTTGATGGACCACCATTAATAACAGCAGTTTGTACGAGTGATGGACGGAATCCCGCGCACCATCCCGGCGCAGTTGACCTCTTGCTGCCCGGAAAATAGTCGAGCTGTGTGATGCTACTGTTATACAAAATGTTGAGCTCTCGTGCCAACTTTGTACGACCCGATCATCGATTTCACATGGCGATTAATAACCACACGTACGCAGCCACACCGACGTACATTCAACAGGGCTGTTCAGGGGCCGTGCGATCTGTTTTCTATGAAGTAGCACGCATTCTTTACATTACGAATCTGTAGCTACGGAGCTTGCGCCAGAAAGTCAGCTTTGAGCACGGGCAGGGTACTTTTGTTTCTATCTTCTATATCAAAAGTAATGGCGCCTTCATAGCCTGCGTCGTCCTTCCAACTCGCTCATCACCCTAGGCAAGCCGTAGGACTCGTATCCACTCGATACTTTACGTTACTGCCGTGACGACGCACAACCTGACGCCGTCGTCGATTCTGGTGGGTGAGGTACTGAGCAAAGCTGGCACCACGCTACATCAATGTCCATTGCACATTCGGCAAAATCTCCATGCAGCCGACGTGACCGAGATAATGAACAGCGAAGCGAGATGTATCTTTTGGAGATACCATATCCTAATGGCACTGTCAATAGGAGTCACTTAGCGTATAGAAAGTCATGGCGAGCTCGTCGTATTGAGGAAGTGTGAACGAGCTCTCAACATGCGGAAGCCTGCGAACCGCATGTTTGTGAGTGCCGTAGACGGTCGAATTTGAACGGACCAATGAGATGACCTCCGCAACAAACAATCTACAAATGCCCCAATCAGAACGCATAGAGGTCCCACGGTCAAATTGAGGCTGTTTGACACACAATCATGCACCTTGGCGTCGCCACGCAGACAAGTGAGCCTGCATGAGCGTCTGCGATAACGATTTCGGGCATGGAGTAAGGCTTCGTTGGGTGGTGTCATTGACATCGTCCGTACGTTTCATTTCGGTTAGCAAGCATAAGATGACCAATTCTTGAAGTGCGTTCTTCAATGCGCAAAGATTAAAGTTAGTAAACGCTGGATTGCTCCTTTTATCGATGCGCACAAAAAACGCGGGAAGAGATGGTTCCGTTTTAGAAATGGTCTGTCCACCGACCGACGTAAGGGTCAACACACACGCTCCTCACGCGTAGTATGATCCTGCTGACGTTCACGTTTGGTCTTCCACTTGGAGATCGAGAAACAACCAATATCTCGCATTTCGACGTGAAAAAGTGATCGATAAACGTGGAGAACGAAGTGGTGTGCGCTGTGTTTGTGCGCCACGGTGACGGTGCTTATTGGTATGGCCGATGCAATCCCACTCGCCAGACCCATTTCTGACGAGGACTGACGACCCGTGGTACTACTACGAGAGCTTATCCAATCTCAAAGGTACGTCCAAAAGTTCGAAATCAACGCTACAATATTTTTGTGTCGCCATTGTGTCCGCACACTCCACCCACGGCGCCCGAGTCGTCGCTTGCGGGCCACAGTCAAGTCCAGTGAAAGTGGTTCCGGTCCAGTGTAAGTGGTTCCGGCTACCGGGAGTACGCCGTAACTCCATTTGTCAATTGCTGCTGGATGCCGTGCATCCAGAACTCGGGACATCACATGCTGTCGCGTCACTTGTAAAATAAAAGCATGTGCTGTGAAATTGTGCTACGAGTTCTTGGATGCCACTTTCGCCACTTGGCTTTGCCGTCGAGTTGCCGAGTGAATACACTGTGCTTACCACTCTGTAAAATACACTGTACGTGACACTAGCGACGAAATGATTGTCCGTAGTGTCCATTGTAGATCTTATGTGCGCCTCCAAAATCAACGCAAGCGGTGGTACATTCGTAGTTGACATGATGGGCTTGAATGTACCTTGTGTATACAGTGCCGATATTATCTCAATTGACGACGCGTTCAATAGATTAAACCGTCGGAGTGCTATTCCGTCCTCCTATGTACCCGTGAAGCGCAGGTATGCAATTGTTTTTAAATGCGTCCATTTTGCAAGCTTGCACGCGCTGATTCGCACACTGTTGTCGTGGACGACGTAGCACCCGACCGACGGCACCTGCTGATTGCATGAGTATACAAATCGCAAGTGTTGAGGACCATCATTGTGGGTCGCGCCAAAATTCATCGCACCGGATACTCGAGGCGACGTTGTCGAGTTGTTGTGGGGTCGCGCTCGCAAGACAAGTTGTCATCGCATGCGCATGTCGTGCTCGTCCAGCTCATTTTGCAATCGTCTTTGACGAGCACACGACCTCCGACCATGAGCACATCCCTAGTCTGCTGCTTCAACGGCTGTGACAGCCCCGCCTTGACGGACATGAACAAGTGCGCCTTCCACCGCAACCGCCTTTGCTGCGCGATCGAAAGCTGCTTCAACCAAGTTTACGCCCGCGGCCTTTGTGTCCGCCACGGCGGCAAGAAGCAGTGCCTCGTTGTCGACTGCACTGCAAATGCCCGCACGGGCGGCCTCTGCTCCCGCCACGGTCTCACCAACACAAAGAAGCAGTGCATTGAACCGAACTGCGCCAACATTGCCCATGCCAACCAGCGCTGCGTACGCCACGGTGGTGGCCGCAAGTGCAAGGTCGAAGAGTGCCAAACCCTCGCACGCATCGCAGGCTACTGCCAGCGCCACTCGAAGCAGCTGCTCTCAGAGCCGAGCTCGTTTGATTGCGACCTTTTGGCACTTATGGAAACCGAAGAGTGGATCGCCAACGACGTGTACTTGGACACGACGTACGAAGCTCTCGACGACTCGATCCTTGACTGTGTCCTGGACTCGACGCGCCCGTACCTGGCGTGATTTAGATCATTTATTCTATTCAAAATTAATTTACCATTGTTTTCCACTCTTCTACTTTGTTTTATGTCGGGCCCTCAACGCCTTGTGGTGTTGCATCTTACGTACAGTTTGTGCCAACTCCAATATTACAGCACAACCAACACCAAGACGTGCGCCGTCTTTAAAGCGGGTTTCTATTTTAACTGGCGCCTTGGACCGCTCAGCCAAGCGATCTCCACATCAAAGCATTCTATATTTTGAAGCCTACCCATTAAAGGTGTCCAAACAAACCCTTAAAGTTCACATTTGTCCTTCATTTTCTGGTTAAGGACTACGGTTCTCTCACAGTTGGATCTAATTATCCTTTGAACCAAGGACGTTACGACGGCAGAGCAAACGGGCGCGTGTGGTTCAAGACACCATCTAGAATCGAGGCGTCGAGGTCGTCCATGCCATCAAGGTGCCACAAGGCGTCGTTGGCGGCAACCACATCATCGGCGAGACGTGAAGCGACTCTGGTTAACTTTGGTTGCAAGAGCTTGGCATGGCGCTGACAAAAGCCTGCAATACGCGCCAGTGTGCAGCAGTGCACGAGCTTGCACTTACGGCCGCCGCCGTGACGTACGCAGCGTTGGTTGGCTTGGGCAAAGCTGACACAATTGGGCTCGACACAGTGCTTCTTTGTCGAGTGCAGTGCGTGGCGCTAGCAGAGGCCCATGGCACGAGCGTTCGCATCGCAGCTGTCGACGCTGCAAGTGCGCTTGCCGCCGTGCCGGACGCAGTAGCCGCGCGCGTACACTTGGTTGCCGCAGCCTTCGTGCGCACACGTGAGCCGATGACGGTGCAGGAGGCACTTGGTCGAGTCCGACACCACCGGACTCGCACAACCATGGAAGCAGCACTCGACACTCATCACGTCGTCGTATGTCAATTGAAAAATGCTGCAAGCAATGCCACCAAGATCTAAACGTCCCAGTGCAAGAAGCCATCGCACGACGCATCGTCCGTCGCCAAGTACCTGCGTAGTACTATTCGTGGCGCGGGTCGTGGACGCTGTCCCACTTCAAACAGTATTTTTGCCTCCAAAATAATTTGGTTCATTTGCTTGGTGCTGTTGTTGTAGACTGCAATGCACGCGTCGGTTTGTGACACGGTCCGATTGACACACTCGTACGGAGAAGGCGTCGATGGATCAAGTGCTTTCTTTGGATGCGGCGTGTTGTTGTGCTCAGTGAGCGCATTGAGATGGCGTCTTTGCCCACACACGACCGCTTTCATCAGCGCGCGTCTAATGGCCACCCGTATGACGCCTTGCGCCACGACGTAGGACAGACCAGCTATATGATCCCACGTTGCGTTTGGTTGTGCGTATGACAAGGCCTTTGAAATGCCACGTCGCCGACGTGGCAGCGCTCCATTGTTGTGCGTATATCGCCAGCGCGTTTTCGCTAGCACCAAAGAAATAAATGACACTTGCTAGCACATATTACCGGTTTGGTTTGGTACGCACCACATACCCGTGGCCAGGCTCGAAGTAGCTCGCGGCGACCCGTCTCGTGGTGGAGACGATCCAGTGCCTTTGGATGCAATCAACCGTCTCATACTCTGCCCGACATTGTGTTGAACGTGGTACCGGTGCTTCCGGGTGCGGCCAGGAAGTTGAATTTTTGCCGTCCAGATACCGGTAGACTCGATGAGTCGACAGTAGGCTACATTGGCATTTTGCATTAGCTTTGTCGCTTGTACCCCGCCACGCCACTCCCAATGGCGAGCGGTCAATCGAATGATCGTCTATTAAGTGCCCGACTCAAGCGTTCTACAAGGTGAACTCGTTACCAGGTAGATAGTGCGAGGGTAAAGCACGTTCTCGCCTCGGGAGCTCGACTGGAAACTTCAATAAAATCCAAGCCGACCGTGGGATCGACAACTCGACACGGACGCGTGCTGGCGGCAAAAATTGACAGCCATTTCGCGTGTCCTGGTACGCCGCGACGATTCAAGCGCGCAAAGTCTCTCGAGACTTTATGGCGGATTCACGGGTTCGAGGTGCACTCCATGATTTGCTCGTGACGTCGCGCAATGTTTCTCATCGCTTGCTGGCAGCTGCTCTGTTGCTGGCGGCCAAAGGCTCGTGACGTCGCGCATTAGTTCACACTTGGCTTCTCAACGTAGTTGGAAGTGGCTATTCACCGCTACTTGTACATAGATGTAGTCGTCGTATTGCCGGGTACCGAACGCCGGTGCGACGGATTTCGGGGCAGAAGTACATCCACTACGCAGCGTTGGTAGCCATGATGCTGTCGGTCGACTGCGACCAAGAGCAAGAAGCCTTGTCGACGACGACCAAGCGCGTACGTACCAAGCAAGAACGTCTTGTGAAGGAGGCACACTCTGAGGTTTGGGTCTGTCGACAGTGCCGATCAGCAAGTGGTCAGCAACCTGTCACGATTCGGGTCCAGTATCCTAGACCTGGGCTGCGTAAACATGCTGCTACGTTCAATTTAAATTATGGAAAAGACAATCGACTAATTGGGCACGTGCAGTGCTGGTGTCGCGTCGGGGCTCACCAGCAGCGTCTGCAGGATTGCATAGTCGAGGCCGTCAATCTCGGTCGACGGTGGTCCGTCGAGGAGGCTCCACGGTGCAAACGAGTCGGCGGTCGCCGGCGGTGTGCCAACACTCGACGCGGAGAGGTCGCGATGGCGCCAGCAGTAGCCGCCTTTCCGCGCGTGGGTGAGGCAGCCGTCGGCGCTGCAAGGTCGGCGGCCGCCGTGGCGCACACACTTGCCTTTCGCGTGCGCGAGGCTCGTGCAACCCTGCTCTTGGCAGCGCTGCTTCTTGCCGCCGTGCTGCGTGCAAAAGAGGCCTAGGCGCGCGTTGGCGCGGCACTCTGGAAACTGGCAGCGCCGCCGGCCGCCGTGCGAGACGCAGAGGTGCCGTGCGTACACTTGGTTGCAGCAGCCCGCGACGCGGCACTTGGCGCGGTTGCGGTGGTACTGGCACTTGGTCGTGAACGGGACGGCGGGCGCGACGCAGTCGCGAAAAATGCACTCCATCCTATCGAGGGTCAATGCCAAAATGACACCACGTGGTGGGACCTTCCAAGCGACTGACCACTCGTTCTATCGCAGGTCCCTTCACTGGGTCCACTCCAGCTGGCGACTTGACAGACGCCGTGTTTGCAGTGTGATCTTGGCGCGCTCGACTGACCTCCTCCAGCTCGACAGGTGGTGCCTCCGACGACACATGTGGCGACCGCACCACGTGCGTCATGCGGGCGGCAGCTAGTAGAGGAAACGACTATAATAGTAGTCGCGCTGAGCGTTGAGGCCATCACCTCTGACAACGGCCATGGGCCGCGACGCCTTGAGCTTTACGAGGTGGGCGTGGGCGTGGACGCTGTGCACGTGGGAGTGTTGGCACAGAGAGCCCGAGTGCTATGCCACGTAGATGGCCAGTAATGCAGTGTATATACCGCCAAATCGAACGCCAAGTTGGCCACTCGTTGAACCTCCGCCCGGTAGACCAAGAGGTGGAGCCTGCGTGCAAGGCCAGTCTGGCTTGCTCGGAGCCTGGTCGGGGCCAGGGAAGCACGGCCCGTGGTGGGCACGGCTACTCCAGCCGTCGACAGCACTAATACGACAAGGTCGCTTGCCCTTGCTACCATCGCGAACTACGGTGCGACTCTGTGCTGCGACGAGGCGGCGAGCCCGGCAATCAACTGACCACGAGCCAGTGACGTCGTCGGCCGAATACGTCATCCACATGCGTCTCTTGCTTGCTACACGAGTGGATCGCTCCCGTAATGCACTTTAATGTATTTGAAGGTCGTCAAGGGTCGGTGAGCGTGGCGGGTGTGACGGCCCTGCGGTCGTTCTGGATCAGTTGATTGCCGATTTTGATCGCCCGTTGGCATCAGATATTGGCTGGAACCTCTCACAACGCATACAATCGACCAGGCCGAAACTCAATTCCTCAAATCCGAATATCCGTGGCTGCGATGGCGAAGCGCAAGGGCGAGTCCGACATCGTGGACGAGCGCCATGTCATGCGCATCATGCCACTGGGCGCGGGCAATGAGGTCGGCCGCTCGTGCATCATCCTCAAGTTCCAGGGCAAGACCATCATGCTCGACTGCGGCGTCCACCCGGTAGGCCATGCAGGCGCGTCGCCACGGTCTCATGCGGAAGCTAGGGCTACTCGGGGCATGGCTCGCTGCCGTTCTTCGACTCGATCGAGGCCGAAGAGATCGACTTGCTCCTTATCACGCACTTCCACATCGACCACGTGGCCGCGCTCCCGCACTTTACGGAGAAGACCAACTTTAAGGGCAAGATCTTCATGACGCACCCGACCAAGGCCGTCATGCAGATGATGCTGCGCGATTTCCTCCGCGTCTCCAACATTAGCGTCGACGACCAGATCTACGACGACCGCGACCTCGCCAACTGCGTCGCAAAGGTCGAGATCATCGACTTTCACCAGGAAAAGATGTTTAACGGCATCAAGTTCACGCCGTACAACGCGGGCCATGTGCTCGGCGCGTGCATGTTTCTCATCGAAATCGGTGGCGTCAAGGTCCTCTACACGGGCGACTACTCGCTCGAGAACGACCGCCATCTCATGGGTACGTCTCGTCTCGTCTATGGGTACTAAAGGACTTGCGTTGTATAGCCGCCGAGATTCCCGGCGTCTCGCCCGACGTGCTCATTGTCGAGTCGACGTACGGCGTGCAGGTGCACCAGAGCGTCTTTGAACGCGAGGGTCGCTTCACGGGCCAGGTCGAGTCGGTCGTCCGTCGCGGCGGGCGCTGCTTGATTCCTGTGTTTGCGCTGGGCCGCACGCAAGAGCTGCTGCTCATTCTCGACGAGCACTGGCAGCAGCACCCGGATCTGCACGGCGTGCCCATCTACTTTGCCTCCAAGCTCGCGGCCAAGGCGCTGCGCGTGTACCAGACGTACATCAACATGATGAACGACCGCATCCGCAAGCAAATCTCCATCTCCAACCCGTTTCAGTTTGAGCACATTCACAACCTCAAGAGCCTCGAAGACTTCGACGACTCGGGCCCGAGCGTCGTCATGGCCTCGCCCGGTACGCCCTTTCTTGTCGAAACGAAGTTGATGGCATGCGTCTAGGTATGCTTCAATCGGGCGTCTCGCGCCAGCTCTTTGAGCGGTGGTGCACGGACAAGCGCAACGCGTGCTTGATTCCAGGTTTGCATGCACTTGTGCTTACCGAGCGTCTCAATTCCTTGTGCAGGCTACGTGGTCGAGGGCACGCTGGCCAAGAAGATCTTGTCCGAACCGACCGAGATCACGGCCATGGACGGCCGCCTCCTCCCGATGAACTGCTCGGTCGAGTACATTAGTTTTTCGGCCCATGCCGATTTTGTGGGCACCTCGGGCTTTATCGAAAAGGTATCTTTGCGTCGATTTCAACGTCGATTTGTGATGCCATTTGGTAGGTCGCGCCGCCCAACATTGTGCTGGTCCACGGCGAAAAGAACGAGATGATGCGTCTTAAGTCGGCCTTGCACAAGAAGTTTCACAACCCCAAGGTGTACGCACCCACGATCCATACGCCGGCCAACACGCAAGAGATCGTGCTCGAGTTTCGCGGCGAAAAGATGGCCAAGGCCATTGGCACGTACGGTCTACTCGGTCGCTCGACCGTCGTCTGATCCGGGTCCACGTAGGATGGCGACCACAATTGCGGGCCACCAAAAGCTCAAGGCCGTCGACAAGAAGATTCCGATCAGCGGTCTCCTCGTCGAGCACGACTTTCACACGCATATCATGGAGAAGGACGACCTCGCCCAGTACACGTCCAACTTGCTCGTCGGCACGATTGCCCAGCGCCAGCATGGTACAGTTCGTGCAAGCGTCTCATCGTGTGTGGCCAACAGAAAGCGTGTAGTGCCCTTTGTGCATCAGCCGTTTGACGTGCTCGTGGCCATGATCCAGCAAATGTACGCGGACGTGACCGTGACATCGGACACGGTCGTCGTGAATGGACAAGTCATGGTGACGCACTGCCCGCCGGAGAAGGTGCTCATCGAGTGGAGCGCCGAGCCGACCGCCGACATGATTGCCGACTCGGTCGTCGCGCTCACCATGCACGCGCAGGCGAGTCCTGCGAGCTTCAAGGTACATGTCTCTCGACGACGCATACAATAGGCGTATACGTGCTGCAGATTAGCATGCACCCTCACGCCGCGTGCAAGCACGACCACCGCCCCAAGACGAGTGTGGCCTCGGAAGAGGCGGTCAAGGTCGAGGACGGCACCGAGCCCCTCGAAGCCGACGTGATTGAAGACGAGGGCTTGCAGGCCGCTGTCGAGACACTCGCCGACGAAGGCGACCTGGAGGCCCTCCAGCTCATCTTGGTCTTCCGCGTGCTCAAGGACCAGTACGGCCAGGTGGAACTCGACCACGCGACGAACGTGATTTCCATCATCACGCCGAGCGGCGCGATGGCCAGCATCCACTACTTTGAGAAGCAGCCGCACGACCGCGTCGAGTGCGAGAACACGGCGCTGTACGAGAAGCTGCTCGAGACGCTCGCCAAGCTCGACCAAGCGCTCCTGCCCGTGCCCAAAGACGCGTAAGACAAGAAGGCCGCGCGCTGCATTTATATAAACACTGGCAATAATCTCTCCGAGGACGAGACCAACTCGTCGTGTAAAAAATAGTGTGAATTTCACTCGTTTTGATGTACAATATTGTGATCATGAAGTAGAACGAGTTGTCCGCAGCATGGTGTGCGAACGCAGGTGCTTATGGTGGACTGTGCATGCTTACTCGTCGTTTCCACTCGACGAGCGGGAGCCGCGCAGAGATTTGGCATTGAAGCTACCGTGCTGCGGAGCGTCGGACGCGTTGAAACCATCGGTGGGGCGGCCGTCCGTCGAACCGTTGACGCGACGATCGTCGTGCGGAACGACTTTCGAGCCGTACGGGCGCCACTGCGGACGACCATCCGAGCCATTGAAGAAAATGTGCGGACGATCGTCGGAGCCGTTGAAGACGAAATGAGGGTGGTCATCTGAGCCGTTGAAGGGACCGTGCGGACGGTCTTCGGAACCATTGAAGGAAACGTGCGGGCGGTCTTCGGAGCCGTTGAACGGGCGCTGGTCAAACCCAAAGAGGCGTTGGCGGAGCTCGTCGTGGTCCGACTCGAGGCCAGAGTGGGGGATTTCAACGTCGGGAAAGCCGTCGCCGCTGCCCGACGGGATCACGTGGTGGTTGCTCGAGTGGTTGGGCCCCCCTGTGACCGGGTGCTCGGCCGAGACGGCGACGGCCGAGAGCACGAGAAGACTGAGGATGCCATGCATGGTTGTTGCACTCGATGAATTGGAAAATGCTCAAACAGGGCAGTGTCGAGGTTCGTCCCGTAAAATAAATCCACTGCCCACGTAGGCTCTGCACCCACAAAACGACCAAGCTTTGGCAAACAGATCGATAGGATCCACTGTGCACACTATTCGATGACGCAAAATGACAAAGCTACAGCAATATATGCCTCCGGATGTTACCGGTGCAGCTCCATTTTGTATGGACTCGAATATCAGACAAGGCCCAATATATATTTGTTTTCTGTCCGACAAGGAACGGCTTGTCTGTTGATGCGTCAAGTGCGCTACAATATGCCACGTCTCTTGTGTTTGCTTCTGGCTCCTCTACATGAAAGCTCGTTTTCGTTCGTGAGGTCCTATGGGCTCGTTACCTGCCAGATAGGGGTAGGGTACGAGCCCCTTGCGAGCAGCGTGGACGCAAGTTACCCACCTGCTGCCTGCATCGCCTCTATTACATGGCCCTATCGAGCCATTGGCGTGTCCAAGACCACCGATGACTCATCACCTCCTCGATTGCTTGGTCTGCCTGTGTGCGACAGCAAACTTAGTAGCGCCACCGAGTGTGCTCGATCCCGCATCAACCATCCAAAACGAACAACCGCAATAACGTGAGGGCCACACGAGTTGCGCGCTGTGCGTCAGCGCAGAACGAGCTAGAGACTTTGTGCATGGCGGATCGTGGTGGCATGGTCAAGTACGAAGGGTATTCGCTCGGAGCACCTCGTTATTGTCGTTACCTATTACAACTTGATTTCTCCCCGAGCGAGCCATCTCTCGAGCACCCACCACTTTTAGTCTCTGCCGACTTGGCGACCACCTTGAAGATCGATTCGCCGTGTTCTGGCAGCTGACAGACGATTTGGTACGAACTCGGTCTAGCGAAGCACTAGAAACACTCTGGCTCTCGGCTCCATCACAACAGTATTAGAAATAATTCCAGACAATCACACACACTACTGCCAGTTGGTCCGCGTCGGGAGACCCTTCGAGGACGAGTGGCGAAGCATCGGGTTCACGCCCGGCGCTGGCTTGGTCTCGACAGCCGGTGTCTCTGGCGTCTTTGCGATCGGCGTATTCCACGAGGACGCGACAGGAGCTGTCCAGGACGACACCGGCGTGGCAGCGACCGGAGTTTCAACCTGCTTGACCGGTGTCGATGGAGCGACTGCGGCCGTGAGCACCGGGCCAGGGTACGCTGGAAATTTCTTGACGACGGCGCGGTTCAAGGCCAAGAGGCAGCGCACGACCGCGCCCAAGTCCTTGAGCTCAAAGAGGTCGACTGTCTCAAAGACGTCGACGGCCGCCACGCCGATCGCGCGGCACGCGTCCAGAAAGTGCTCGATGTTTTGCATCTGCTTGAACGCGACGGACGACGTGTCAATCTGGATCGGCGTCTCGTCGGCCATCGAGATTGCGTACAGCGTGTTGATGAGCACGCAGAGCACTTGTCCGTTCTGGAGGCTTGGGCCAAACTCGGTGAGCGTTCGGTGCGTCACTGCCTCAATCCACTGCTTTACGTCGGCTTCCAGCGCATGGTCGTACTTGGCGACCGCCTTGGACGCAAGCTCTGCGTCTAGGCCGTGGCCACCGCCCCAGACTTGGACCGGCGCGGCTTGCTTGGGCGGCGTCACCGACTGCGCGGACGGAGTGCGCTGGACGGGCGCCGGCGCTGCTTGCTTGGGCGGTGTCACCGACTGCGCGGACGGAGTGCGCTGGACGGGCGCCGGCGCGGCTTGCTTGGGCGGTGTGACCGACGGGGTCGGCGTCGCGTTGTTGGATTGCGCTGCCGACATCCACCGGGCCGCCACGGAGGACGATGCCTTTGTCGGCGAGCCATTGTTTGCGGACGGCGTGCGCTGCAGCGGCTTGTCGGGGGACGAGAAGGCGCCTTGGGCGTTCTTGGTCAGAATCGTCGGGATCGTGGCGATGGTCGACGACGACGGCGGCGACGAGTAGCCCGACGAGACGGGCGGAAGGTCGGACGTCGAGTCGGCGCCAAAGGTCACGCCTGTCGTGACGTCAATGTTCGGGCGCTCCATGATCGCTTGGCTGCCCATGTTGAGGAGCGAGGTCGCGTGGCGCGCCTCGGCGAGCTGCGCCTCGGTGAACGTGCGCTCGTTGCGCGTCGACTCCTTCACGCCGAGAAGCGGTCCGTTGTACGTGCCCTTCTTTTGCAGCGTGCGGCCCAGCGCGTGCAGACAGCGCACGACGACGCCGAGGTCCTTCTGCTCGAAAAGATCCACGGTCTCAAACAAGTCAAACTCCATGACGCCCATCCCGCGGCAGGCGCGGATGAAGGCCGTGACGTTCTCCATCTGCTTGAAGGGCATCGTCGACGTCGAGATCTTGATGCGGCTCGCGGGATCGACGGCGTTGGCAAGCTCGCAGAGGATCACGCCGTCCTTCAAGCCGAGGCCAAAGTCGGGCCCGATGGCCTTGCCCGTGATGGCTTCGATCCAGTCGCGCGCTTCGGCCTCGGCGTTCGTATCGTACTTGGCCATCGCCTTGGTCGCGAGCTCCTTATCGAGCCCGTACGCGCTGCCTCCTCGTTGCATCGTGGTCGTTCTTGTTGGCAGCACAGAAATTCAGAACTGATCTCGCCAAAACCGCTTGCGACTCGCATCGCATTTTTATATTTCTAATTTTAAATACGAGGTTTGTATGGAACATAAACCGTTGAAATTGTATGCAACGGGCCACGAAGGAGCCGGAGAGCGCGCCACCTGGACCGACGGAAGCGGCCTGCGAACGTGGGATCGCCGGCGGAGAGGCCAGCCAGCGCCAGCCGACGCGACCTGCGCCGCCATGCCCACGCCCACGCCCATGCCCACGCCCACGCGAAGCCAAGCATGGCAAGCATGGGAGGCGACGCATGTCATGCGGCCGGAATGCATGTGGACACGACCAAGCCGAGCCAGGCCAACCCTTGTGGTGCGCTTGCCACGTCAGCGACGCCACGCGCGGGACGACCATGCCTACCGGCGGCTCCTGCGATCTTGCAGAATGTAGGTTCAATCGGATGGTGCATGTCCCCAGCAGGTCCGCTGCGGTACGGTACAGTGCACCATGCGACGTGATCCGCCTGCTTGGTACGGCGCGAAGCGCCCATGCCCAATAGCTCCGACGCCTCGTACACCCAACGGATGGCAAACGTCGAGCAAGACGAAATGCATTCTAGAGCGACGACGTGGGTCGTCCCTATTAGCGGAGCTCGACCGCGAGCTGCTTGACGAGCTCTTGGCGCACGACGAGCTGGAGACCGTCGACTTCTTCGTTGGTGAGGTTGCGGTCGTGGTGGCGGTACGTGATGCGGAAGCACTTGCTCTCGCGCTGCGTCTTGGGGTGCACGAAGGCGTCGACGACCTCGACCTTCTCGACCATGTCGCCGGCAATGTCGCGCACGATCTCGTACAAGTTGTTCTCGTGGAAGTCGGGGCCGAGCCAGAAGCTCACGTCCTTGTAGCACGGCGGGAACTTGCTGTACGGCTTGAACTTGGTGATGACGCCGTCTTGGAACTGACTCAGAAAGCGCGGGTCCTGGCTCCAGAAGAGGCGAATGTCCGGGATGTCAAAGAGCACCATCGCGAGGCGCTCGAGGCCGAGGCCGAACGCCCAACCGACCTCGTTGACGACGCCCGCGTTCTCGGCGATCTCGCGCCGAAGGACGCCGCAGCCAAGTACTTCGAGCCACTCGCCCTAGCAGAGTAGGAAGGATCTAGACCCAATCCATCAGATACCCGTAGGGTGTACCTCGAAAAAGATCTCAAGCTCGAGCGACGGCTCCGTGAACGGAAAGTACGCGTCGACCCAGCGCATCTCGACCTTGCCAAAGATGGCTTCGACCATGCCTTCCAGCGTCGCCTTGAGGTGGCCCTGGACGTGCGCAACGCGGTCGTCGTACGGCGTCGTCGGGTCGAGCTCGGGGAAGAATCGGAGACCTTCCATTTGATGGAAGACCGGGTAGTGGCTTGCGTCAATCTCGTCACGGCGGTAGACGTCGCCGGCGACGAGGAAGTTCTTGATGCCTTTGCGCAGCATGGGCACTTCGTGGCACGACGTGTGCGTGCGGAGGAGCGTCGTCGGGTTCAGATAGTACGTGTCCGTCGGCTTGCGGCTCACGTGGTCCTTTGGAATGAGCATCTGGTCAAAGCAGTCGTCGACCGAGACAACCGGCGAAAGCGAGTCGAAGAGCTGCATCTTGGGGTGGCTACATGGCTAGTATAAGCCGCAAGGTCGCATGGTGTCGCCGCCTACCCTTTGGCGTGGAGATCGTCAAAGTACGTCGCGATCTTGGTCTTGATGATGTTGAGCGGGTGGTGCGGCTGGCAGTGCAGGTTGACGCCGACCTTGGCCGCGATCGACTCGCTCACGTTGTTGTAGGCGTCGCCCGTGATCAAGTCGGGGTAGCCTACATGATAGCAGCGATGAGGCCCATGGCGCCATGGAAGGCCGCATCGTACGGGCGCTCTGGGTCGCGAAGGTCGCGCGCGGGACCACGGCCCGGCGGAGCGCTGACGAGGACAAGCGCTGCAGCATGGTTCTTGTGGCAGGCAAACGAATGCCAAAGATTGCGTCCGCACGCTGATTGGTCCATCAATAAATCCATATCGATGCTCGACGAAGCAGCCATATATGGATTGTAGCACATCCGATTGAATTCATTCAGGCCACTGCCCTTGCCTCCGTCAATAGCGTTCCAGCGCCACCTTTCTATCGTCATACCACACGCCATTGAAGGTCCATCAGGTGCGCGATAGCGTCGCTCGCTTCCTCTCTAAAAGCAAAAAGACGTTGAGCTGGGGCGACAGCTTGAACATGCCATATTCAAGTTATATATGGATCCTCATCGGCTCAATGACGTGCTGGCGGTACTCCTGAAGGGCAACATTGATCCTCTTTCCATTCAACCGGATCCAGCCACCGAGCTATATACCGCCATACCTCTCTCGACGGCCAGCGTTAGGGCAGGAGCGAGGCGCCTTCATGTTCCGAATACAATGGCGACCCCAGACCGTCCACTTGCAGCTGCGTTTTGGATGTGGCCGGTATCCGACTTGCCGTGGAAGATACCCCGTATCTACCAGATTCGTCAACTAGAGGTCGCAGTTGCTATGGAGATGGACATGGACTTGCCGTTGTCTTCTTCCGCCAGGGTTGTATGCACGGCGCGAGGAAGAGGAAAGCGAGTACTGCAGTGAGGGCGTCCATCCCGTGGGCCTGCGTTGCGCAATATGCAAAATCCGACGCCAACGATTCCGAACGTGCTGTGCCAGTTGCGTGGAATTAGCGTGCGCGCGCGTGCAGAACGTGATTCCACCCAAATCCAGATCTTGCATGTACAGCAGCTCGTCGCCGCAAGAGGCCGCGGGCGACGCGATCGCGGGCATGCGCTTTGGCGACGACGTCTTCTACTCGCCCAAGCGGCCGCCGCCGAAGGGCGTGTACCGGTACCTCACGGGCGCGGCCCACGCGCGCCAGCACGCGAGCTACGACTTTGCGGTCGTCACGACCACGTTGACGCCCGACGACGCCGACGCCGTCCAGTGCCACCTCGTCGAGCCGCTCGTGGACCACGGTACGGGCGTACGCGTGACCTAGGACGAGTGCGAAGCGGCGTAGGGCTGCACGTCGACGTCATCGAGGCCGTCGATGGCACGTACTTTATCCTGATGGTCCGCGCGCCGGACGAGATTGTCGTGCGCCACGCCAAGAAGCTCAAGCTGCAAATGTGGCTGCGCTGCGGCAACGCGCGAGAGCTGGACGCGACGCTGCTTGAAGACGCTGGCATGAACCCCGCGGATCGCATCCAGGTCGTGGACCACTTGGTCCGGGAAGGTATTTTCTCTCTCGCTACACGCGTCTACCGATGCGGCTCGTAGGTGCCAAGATTACCGAAAGCGCCAAGCACGTGCGCCGCGTCTTTCCCGTGCACGACGCGGCGCGCAACGACGAGCTTCTCACCAAGTACATTGCGAGCGCGAAGCTCGAGATGGAGATTCAGTCGGACGCGTTCTGTGCCCACGTCAAGACGTACTTTGGCGAGAAAGTCGCGTTCTACTTTTGCTTTCTCGACTATTACAACAAATCGCTCTTCCCCATCGCGCTCGTCGGCGTCCTCCTCACGATCGCGCGGCCCTTCCTCGGTCCTCACACCGCCACCTCCGCATTCTCATGTCTCATATGACTCTAGGTATTGTGCTCTACATGCGCGTGCTCGTCGTCTGGGGCTTCCTCGTCTCGGTCGTCTGGAGCTTTTGGTTCCTCAAGAGCTGGCTGCGCAAGACCAAGGAGCTCAACTTCAACTGGCGCAACAACTTTAACGCGACGTTCACGGTGTACCCCAACCCTACGTTTCACGGCGCCCCGTGCACGAACCCGATCACGGGCCTCCCGGATCTCTCGTACCCGGGCTGGAAGCGCTACCCGACGTACGCGGCCGTCGTGCTCTTCATGCTTGTTCAGATTGCCATCATGATGCTCTTCATTGCCGCGTGGCTCACCATCTTTGAAGGCTTGAAGGTGCGGTACCCGACCACCGGGCTCTTTAGCGTCCAGTGGTGGACGATCCTCGGCGGTGGCATCGTCTTTGGCTTGTTTGTCGACGTCTTCCAATGGAACGTGGTCGTGACGCGCGCCGCGCGTCTCCTCACGCGCTGGGAAAACTGGAAGACGATGGAGCAGTACGAGCGCTCGTTGATCCGGAAGCTCTTTTGCATGGACTTTCTCAACTACTACACGTGGTTCTTCCTCCTCGCGTTCGTGTACGTGATTCCCGGCGCCGGCGACTGGATCACGAACGCCCTCAACTCGATTCTGTACAAGGATCCGGTCAACTGCTGCTTTGGCCCGCACTTGCACAAGGCCTCCAACGTGTGTCTGTCGTGCCCGAGCCCGTGGACAGGCCACCACACGGTCGCCAACCCACGTCAATGCATCCCCTGCGTTGGCTGGATCACGTTTGACCGCGCGCATTTGGACCTCGAGACGCTTTTTCTGACGCCCATCATCGTCACCCAAGGCCTCAACCTCCTCATTGCCGTCGGATGGCCGTGGTGCGTCCGGCGGCGCCACCACGCGGTCCGCGCCCGCACCGACAAGCAAGCGCTCTCGATCGTTCGCGACGACGAGAGCTCCAAGCGCGCCGTCCTCGGCGCGCTCGACTACAACGAGAGCAAGCACGCGACGCTCGCCAACGACTCGCGGGCGCGGTTCCTCTCGCGCGGCCCGTACCTCGAGGCCCTTCTCCGCTTGGCGCGCGACGTGTTGTACCAAGCCGAGCAGCCGACGTACGACCCGTACGAAGACTACCACTGCGCCGCCGTCCAGTTTGGATTCGTCGTGATGTTTTCGATGCTCTGGCCGCTCATGCCGCTCGCGTGCCTCGGCATCAACGCGCTCAAGTGGCGCGCCGACGGTGTCCGCCTCGTCCGGACGCTCCAGCGGCCTTTTCCCCGCAAAGCCAACGGGATTGGCGAGTGGTATGTGGTCTTGGTGGTGCTTGCTTGCGTCGGCGTCGTTGTCTACACCGCGCTCGTCTTTGTCTCGACGGGCGCGGCCGAGTTTTTCGTGCCCGAGTGCGCCGAGACCATGGTCCTCGGCGGTGCGTTCCGGTTTGGTCCGTCGTTTGCGTGCTTTTCGCTCACGGCGCGCATCGTCATGGTGCTGGTGACGGAGCATTTGCTCTTTGTGTTGATTTGGATCTTTTGGAAGACGGTCGGGAGCGTCCCGCGCTGGCTCGCGCTCGAGTGGCAGCGCCAAGAGTACAGCTTTAAACGCTCGCTGTACGAAGCGCGGAGCGGCGAGCTCCACCTTGGCGCGATCACGGCCCAGCACAGTAGCAGCAGCAGCCACCTCGATGCGATGGTGGCGCCACGCGAGACGACGCCGCTTCTGCTTCGCAAGCCTTCCCATACAGCGACGACCAAGGCGCTCGCAGAGATGTGGGACGGCAAAGACGCAGCGTAGATGCGACCAAGTCGCGGTGGTAATACATGCAATGGAACAAGCCGCGTGTCGTTCTTGTCGTACTCGGTTTCGGGTGGCACATCGGCGCGGGCAGAAGCGGCAACAACCGGCGCTTAAATCAACAAGACGACAAACTGTAGCTAATAGATTGTAGATGGTGCACAGACGAGCGACTTGCAATCCGGTTGGAAGATCAAGATCATCGTTGAAAGAGCAAGTGAAACGGACTCCAAGTCATGACGTCCCGAGCCAGCGACGTGGCAGCATGGGGAGCCCGGCATCAGGTACAGACCGCGATCTTTCAGCTCACTGGCGCACTTGCAACATGATGGTTCTAGGCCCTGGCGCAGGAGCGACTTGGTGCAATTGGTCAGTTTCCATCCTTTGTCTCAATAAGTTGTGACGCGTAGTCCTCTTCGAGCAGCTCGCCAACCGGTCGCGCGACCAAGCAGCCCGCATCGAAACCTTAACGGCGGAGGTCTCGGCCCTCGAGCAGCAACTCGCCTCCTGTGTGCCTCCATTTGTACCTCCGTCGCCCCCACCGCTGTCCCTGGTACCGCTGTCTCTCGCTCGCCATAACACATCCCACCCGACGGACGCCATGCCTCTGTGCCTGGACACGACGCATCTTGCCGAAGACGTGATTGCATCGAGCCTTGTAGTGGCCGGCATCGGCTTCCTTGTGGCCGCACTGCAGCGCCACCGGCGTCCGCCTCCTGCTGCTGTCGCCCGCGAGCTCTGTCACCGCGAGCGGCATCGCCACTGCATCCAGCTGCGACTCCAGCACTCGGCACTGCACATTTTCAACCGCAGGTTGGCTGTTTCCCACCGTCTCTCGCGTCAGCCGAGGTGCTCGTAGTCGCGTCGACCTCGATCTAACCGGCTGCGTCGTCCAAACACGCGACGACCTTGATGGCTACGTCCTCCGCTTTGCCTTTCCGTCGGGTACATTGAGGTGATGCATCGACCGTGAAGGTATACGGAGCTTGCGTAGGCTTTCTTTTGGCGGCCGCGACCTCGGTTGGTCTCTGCTATGGCGATGCCTACTTCCAGCGCCGGTCCAAAGGCGCACCGCTGGACTCGCGCACGAGTGCGTGGCTGCAGTGGACGACGCGCGACACGTGGCTCGCGGCGGCGCAGGCGATTTCGCTCTGGGACGCACAAGAGCATTGCATTGCGGAGCTTAATCTGACACCGCGATTGTAGTCGACGTGCTTTCAGAGGGTGAAATACAGGCACGTGGCATCACCGACAGACTTGGTTGTGAATTCTTGGTTGCATCAAGGGCACTGGGGTCGAATGACATTATATTTATACAATTGTAGTCCCCGGCTAAATAACTAGCGTCGACAGCTCGACGGGTACAGTACTCGCGTCAACAGCACTTGCACAATCTTTTGACGGCGCGTCGCATTTCTATGCCCAAGCTATGTATATATGACATTATACAAACTTCAAGTTCCATTGCGTGCCTTCACAAAGGTGGTTCTGGTACGCACACCTTTGTATAGCGTGCTGTGGCGAGCCGCCACCCATCATTGGACAAGACGCACCTTGGAGCCACATTCTCTCAACGCCAGGAGACGCACAAAAGGCACGAATAAGATCAGAAGATGCACGAGCAAATATTGTGGTGGCCCAAGCGCCCACACCATCACATCATCATCATCGTGAATCCGCAAAAGGGGTGCGTGGGCGGCCCCCTGAAGGGACCAGCCTCGTGCCCATTTATTTAATATAACCTGGGTATTTGTATGCCAAATAAAATAAAAAGAAAACCTACACCCTCCAAAAGCTTGAACTTGCGCCAAAAATAGATCCCTCGGTTTACGAGCCACCATCTGGTCCGAAAACGCTATTGCGATGACACGGATATAGTGTTACTAACTCCGCAACGACGCTACGGAGATTCATTGAGAGACCATGCCACAGGAGGAGAGTGTTTACGCATTTATAGACTGGATTCAATGCGCCCATACCCTTTCGCGCCGGTCGAACGCCTGTAGTGGGCCCTCCACTGCATCTGTATGAATATAGTGTAAGAAGTCACGATTTCGAAGATCAAGAAACACCAAATAGTGTGCTGCTGGGTCTTGGAAGATTAACGTTGGTCACGTTTTCCGAGTCCTTCGCCAAGTGCTTTTCGCCCGACTGCGATGGAGCTGCATGGGACGCCGCTGCTCCGCCGGCTCCAGGTGTCGACGCCAACGACCATCAACGGAAGTAGGTCGACGCCATGGGCTACATGGCGCTCACGCTGTCCTAGACCTGGCCATCTACATCTACATCTTCCTCGGCGCCATGGTGTTTGTGGGCGTCATGAGCCTCTTTGCGTACTGCTACCACCAGCGCCGCCTCCAGCGCTACGTTGAGAACGACAATCTCAACAACAACATGCAGCGCCACTCGCTCATCGACAGCTTCCTCGAGAACGGCGAGTCCGAATGGCAGTGCTCCATCTGCTACCACGACAACCACCCGGCGAAGCGCGAGTGTCTTCTCTGCGGCACGCCTCAAGGTACGCGGTCACGTTCAGCAGCAGCATGCGTCATGACATGTATGTATCTAGTCGTCTCGCAGCAAGCCGTCACGACGCCGAGAATACGGGCTAACGGCGCGACGTCGCCCGACGAGAACAGCAACCTCCAGCTCGCGCGGCAGCGGTCGTTTCACGTGCGCCGCCTCAACGAAATGCAAGACAACATGCATTTGAACCAGCGACAACGCGGCGCGCGCCGCCGCAACCTCTGGAAGCGCGAGAAGGGCGACGACGGCCAGCTGCGCTGGGTGCGCATTGAAGATTGCAAGCCGCGCGTAAGCGTCCTCGCGGCCACGGCCACCAACACGTCGTCCGAATCGTCGTCGGACGCACCCGAGCGGTACCTCTTCGACATGCAGGCACGCACGTCGTTCTCTCAGACGACGGACGGCGACAGCGTCGAGACCGAGCTCCGCGTGACGTCCAAGCCGTCGCTGCCATGCATCCCCCTCGTGACCCAGGATTCGACGGGCTATGTGCGGGACATGGATGCCTCCGGTGCGGTTCTCTGGGTGCCCGCCGACTCGGTGCGCATGTCGGAGGCGATTCAAATCGACACGGACGAGTTCCCGCGCGCGTCGTCCATGATCGACTTTGAGTTTGTCGCGTCGCTGCCCTTTCGGCACAAGGTGCGCTGGTTTCTTCAAGAGCTCGACAAGGTGGCCGTGCCATGGGAAGAAGGCCACCTCCTCCTTAGTACGCCGCGTCCATTCGCACTCTATTGTATATTTACCTGCATTTTTGTGTAGAGATTCGGCGCGACGCTGTCTTGGACGAATCGCTGCATCTGCTCATGCTCGTGCCGGCGTCGGACATTCGCCAACGCCTTCGCATCGAGTTCATCGATGAGCCAGGTACTTGTCTTGTAGGGTTAGGGGTAGGTGCGTTCTACGTGGGGGTAGGTCTGGACGCGGGCGGTCTTCTCCGGGAGTGGGTGCTCTTGCTCTGCGAACGGCTCTTTGACGAGTCGTATGGGCTCTTCCAGGCCACGCACGTCGAGAACCTCGGGTACGAACTCTACATTAGATTTGTGTTGAGACTTCCTTGTGTATAGGTACTGGCTCAACACGAACGCGGCGCAGCTTCGGGACGACCACCTCAAGTGCTACGAGTTTATCGGTCGTCTCATCGCCAAGTGTCTTTTGGAAGGCCAGCTGCTCACGGTGCATTTCGCGCTGCCGCTGCTCAAGCACATTTTGGGCGTCCCGATTTCGTTTTCGGACCTCGAGTTTCTCGGTATCTCTCTTTTGCCGTCGTAAAGCGATGTATCGATGATGGAGTAGACGAAGAGCTGTGCAAGAATGCCAACTGGCTGCGCACCAACAGCAACGTCGAGAACCTCTGCTTGGACTTCACCGTGCAGACGCTCGACGCCAACGGAAAGCCTCTGCCGCCGATCGAGCTCAAGCCCAACGGCGCGTCGATTCCCGTGACGGATGCCAACAAGGACGAGTACCTCATCTTGCTCTTGAAGCACTACATGTTTGATTCGGTCCAAGACCAGATCACGGCGCTGCTCAAGGGCCTCTACGACGTCATTCCGCGCAACCTCCTCTCGGTCTTTGACTACCAAGAGCTCGAGCTCCTCATCTGCGGCGTGCCCAACATTGACGTGGACGACTGGGAGCGCCATGCCGACGTCAAATACCAGGATTTCGACCACCCGACGAAGCTCGAGAAGCGCGTCGTCGAGTGGTTTTGGATTGTGGTGCGGGACTTTACGCAGGAGCAGCGCGCGCGCCTCCTGCAGTTTGTCACGGGCACCTCGCGCGTTCCTGTCGAGGGCTTCAAGGTACACCGCTTTGTCCTGCATACTAGTATGTATTAACAAGCATGTACTAGGGCTTGCTCAGCAACGACGGGCGTGTGCGCCGGTTCGGCGTCCAGGTGGTCGCCCGGGGGGTGCCCCCCACGGGGTTGTACCCGAAAGCGCACACGTGCTTCAACCGCATCGACGTACCGATGTACGACTCGAAGGAAGAGCTCGCAACGTACTTGACGCTCGTCATCAACATGGAAATCACGGGCTTTACGATGCAATGAGACTATGTAGTAGAACAATATATACACCACAACACTACATATCGATTTGCTCAAGGTGCAAAAACCACTCTCTTGTAGTCTATCGGGGACAACCGAGCCACATAGTCGCCAACCTGGACGGCCGAAATCTTGTCGATGGCGATCTTGAGAAATATCCTTCTCTTGAACGGGACCAAAGAGTTCATTCTGGGTCAAAAGATCCATTGTCGTCGATTCATGGAGCGATAACCAACTGTACACAATTGACATTTATATGAAGTGAAAGGCCGGCCGTTCATTACGGCATCGTCGATAGCTAATGATCTCACTTTCTCTTCGTATCCAACTCGCTATTACTAGGCTCAGGTGAGAACTTAAAGTGTCGTCGCATGTGCTATCAATCGCCATAGCAGAGCCCTCACCCGCCCGCTTGCTCGTGCTCGCCGACGACAGCGCCATGGCACGGTGTGATTGACGACACCCTTCCTCAAACAACTTGGGGCGACAACCGTGTTGGAGTCCGCCATGCCAGTGGTGGGCTCGCTTGTTGACTGACACTGCCAATTTGCAAGTGTCTCGAGCTCGCTTGCTCTGCGCCTTGGGTCTTGTAATGTGTGTACTTCTTCTAGATGTTGGTTTTCTGGGTCGCGTGGCCTTGGACGGAAATCCTCCTCCATTTTGCTGTGTCTGGATTGGTCAAGCCATGCCAGGCCGATGCAAGCGTGTATCGCTGGAGAGTTATGACTCGAGGAAGCGAGTAGCTCAGAGTCTGTGTAGTCTGTGTGCGTGGTGTAGATAGGATAGGGCTAGGTGCCATGTACGGATGATGTCCGGTAACCACCCTGACGGTAGTGACCAGTACCTTGGAGACTTAGTTGGAGCCTCTTGGCGACGGTCTCATTCGGCACAACCTATCTTACTGTCCACGGCGCAGGCTCCCATAGTTCCGCTTCTCAATACCTATCGATCTACCTTTGTCGCGTAACGCAATACAACTGCCTGCTTCCTGGAAATGGCTCTCCCCTCGCTGCGTTGTCTGCGTTGCACCGCGGAAGCCACCACATCTCCTAGGAAACGGCCCTGCCCTGGGCTGGTTACAACAGTGTATCGCTTGATTACTATGGTACTCTAATTCATGCACACCAACTTCATTGATACTACTCTACGCTTAGTACACCAGCCAGCGTTTACTATAAGCACTAAGCTTACGTCATGGAAACAGACGTAGATGAGCGTTCGAATGTACTCAGGCGTGGCTGATTACTGACTAATTAAGCGTATTCACTGGCTCGCAGTGTTGGTCGAGTGACGCGCGACAAGCTTCGCTGAGTGGCTTGATTGACCATGCGTCGTACTAGAACGGCACCTGCTGTTGCCCCATGTATTTAACAACACGCGCGTTTCTACTAACTCACAGTTCGTAGTAGCTGAACTTGGTAGCCCTCCAACTAAAAGTCATATGCTGTGAGATTAATGTCAGGGCGTCGTTTGCAGTGTATGCGGACTAACAACTATCGCATGTCTTACGTGGCGGCATTCTCTTCGTGCCGAGTAGCCGTCCCGTTCGGCGGCTGCTGCGCAATTGCAACGTCCCGATGCACTGGGCGCACGGACATGCAGGCTGATGTCGTACAGTGTACGTCGTACGTTTCTTATAATATTACCGGTCGCGGTGAACTTTTCAATACGATCACCTAGTGTATACTCCAGCATTGGCCAGGCACGCGGGTGCAGCGTTCTCCGCACATCGGTATGGCGCCCGTGACGCAGCCCGTGACGCGTCCTCTTTGTGACTCATCGTTGAATGCGGCGACGCCATCTGGACTGTGTCACACGTGCGTGACGGCGATGCGCGATGATCATTCATCTGCTTCGTTTCATTTCCTGCAGCGCCATCAGCAGTTTGCCATTTCCCGAGCGTCGATCATCGATTTCACGAGCATGTGCCTCTTTCACCAGTGCGATCTGCCGCCGCTGCCCGGCACCACCAAGTGCGAGCGCCACAAGCACCGAACGCCGTGCGCGGTGCCTGGCTGCGCCAACCAAGCGTACGCGCGCAGTCGCTGCGTGCGCCATGGCGGCCAAACGAGCTGCGTCCACGACGGCTGCAACGCCAACGCCCGCGCCCACGGCTACTGCGCCAAGCACCTCTCGACAGACCACAAGTCGCTCTGCACGGAGCCCGGTTGCGGCAGCTTTGCGCGCACCAAGGGCCG